AAGAATACATTCGTTCTTGTAAGATAAATAAGCCACTCTGAATACAGTTTTCTTATCCTTTAATTTTTCTCATTTCTCTCTTGTTCAGCGATGCTAATGAGAAAACATGGCGGGCAATAAATCAAGGAACGCTGTAATGAATGGACCTTTTCGAAGTCGCGGACCTCCAAGTGATTCGAAGCACTTGTTTCTCGCTAAGTCTTTGTCTTGCAAATAGAATCGTTTAACATATAATAGGGACCGTGTTATGGTTTCAAATATGCCTATATAAAACAGCAAACGAAGTAACAGCAATTCTACACCATTCAAAAGTTTTGTAGTTGAAAAATTTTGAAAATTGTTGACATACAAAAAAATGTTGTTCAGCTTCTTTAAATTAAATGAATTTTTTTTACATCATGTTTATGACATTATTGAGAATGTAAATGAAATGTATATTTTTCCAAATTATTATACTTTAAGGGTTGAATGTAAATACGCACACAACAATTTCTATTAAAATTGAATTGCTTTGTAAATATTTGACTATTTTCATGGCTGTACGATGATATCAATTCTGCATATTTCTGGTACTTGAGCAATTTATCCTTCAAAATAAGAGTCTTCTGTCATCAATGCATACAAGGACATTAAAAATAATCTTGACAATTTCTATTAAATTCATTAGACTTTCATGTGAGTGTTAATATCTTCTTTGCGTCATCCTTTGAAAGTTTAAAATTCAAACCTCTTCTTTTCAAAGTAGTAAGCAAAAAGAGCGTTCAATTATTATCCACTAACTCATCTTGCAAACATTCGAAACGTAACATTACCGAATAACGAATTATCAAAATTTAAAATCATCTTTATCTTTTTACAGATATATTATAATATATTATAAACTTGTAATACTAATATTGACCATAATTTTACTCCATCACAAAATGGTCTCATCAACGTTCGAAATTATCGAAACTTAATTCTTCATTTAAACAATTAATAAAAGAACTTCTCTAGAAATTCAAAATAAATTAGAAAGATACCAAACTACTAAATGTTTTAATTGGAGAGAACATATTTCTCTTGGGAATTTGATTAAGTACCATTTTCAGGCACAATTCTCTTGTCTATTTATACGGCCATTATAAAGAAACCTATTCACAGGTTGAAAACCAATATCTAATATTTATATTGCGCACATCAAACGTCATAAATCGTGTACCCGTTTAAAATAGTCGTAAAAGCATTACCAAAAGGTACTCGGAGCGTTAATGGTATTCAGGTTACGTCACGAGTGTACACTTCGATGATTCGGTTCCCACTTTCCGATGGCAACGACCTCCTTGTACACACTGACTTCCGATTACATGACCATGAAGTCCTGATCGGCAGTATTACTTAAGCGTGAAATTATTTTTCACCGTTGATCAAGTCGTTAACTTCCGATCAACGCTCGTGAATTAAATTGCGTTCAACTCCGTTTGATCGCGACAACCATTCAACCTCTACCGTCGAAGCTCGAACCGCGAACAATATGGCGCGTTTACCGGAAAATTAAATCATTTAGCTGATGGGGGCTTCCTTCTAATCGCGTGTACAGTAACGACCACGAATTAACCCTTTAGATGTTTTATTTATTTTTGAAATTCTGCGCAGCTGCCTATGTAATTATTTTTAAACGATGATGAGAATACTCGACAAAAATAGTGCGTGCTTGTTAAAAAATTGAAATCAATTACGACAGAATGATGAATGTTTCTATTGAACTTTTTAGGAGATTTATATTTTTATTGTTTAAAAATTTATTAATTTTTATTTGTAGAATTTCAAATAGAATTTATTTGTAAATGAACAAATAATATTTGGGATTAAAGGTATCATTACGATAAATAATCAAATAGTAGGAAACGAAAAATTGAAAATTAATATTTGATTTGTTCATATACAGCAGAATATTATTCTATCCAGGAAAAAATGCCGATTAGAGTAGTTAATGTAAATGTAGCATTTTGTTTATTAATATTTAATCCATTATTATTCCAAAATCTTCTTGTTTCACCTGATTTTTGCTATATACAGCAAGAGCAAATTTATTTTGCTTCGTGACGAGTATAATCGACAGAAACATCTAAAGGGTTAAAAAACAAAATAATTTTGAATATGCTCAACTAAATATATTTATGAAAATTATTTTGGTTACTATTACTTACTCATTACTTGTTACTTATTTATTCAAGAAGTTAATTAACGTTCTATATTTTCCTATCTGATTTTACATAGTAAATAATATGCACTTTTTTACATTTTATTCAAACCATTTTCTACAGGAATAATAAAAGAAAACATGTTTACAATATTCTTGCTATAATATTTTGTTCCTTAATTTTTGTCCGTGAATATATTTCATATATTAATCTGTACGATTTCACTTTAATTTGAACGAATTCATTTATTCCTTGACTTAATATTTCAATACTCTTAATAATACTAAAGGAACGAATATGATTGATGATTCTTCCTTAGAAAAGTTTCTTTTGTTTCGAGACTTCAAAGCCTTCATCACTTTTTTTGTCTGAATGATAAATTGTTATTTCTGTGGAGCTACAAATGACAATGAAGAGAATTGAATCTCAGATGATATATTAACCTACAGATAATCTTTTCTTATGAATGTTATTCTTTTCAGTATTGGAAGATCCTTGTCTTTTATTCATATATCAACATTTTCACAGCATTATAAACGACACAGGTCGAAATTCGTCAATCTGGAACTGACCCTCAAATAAATTCTTTATTTGGAGACCATTGTTTTGAAGATTTCCAGATCTTTCCACCATGATGACATTAGCATCGTTATAAAGTTGCAAACTACTCTAGAAAAAGATAAAATTAACCCATTCGTTGCCGGGGAAATTAAATACATCTTGCCCCGGATGCCAAAAATTAATTTCGAAGAAAACAAAATTATTTCATGATTTATTACTACTTATAAATTTTCTTCCCAAACGTCCCGTTTGTGAAAGGTAACAGTTAATCGAAACTCCCAGCGCAAACTACTAGACACCCCATAGCTAGCATCAACTGGGTCCATCTTTCTAAGAATAACTTCGAATACAAAATCTCAAGCGTTTACCGCTTTATGTCACCATCGAAGAAGCGATCGAACACATTGGTGAACGGTAGTGCGCGAATAAAAATCCATCCTACCCGGTGGTACCGCAAGAGACCGCTGCACGGTGGCCTCAAAAACTCGAAACAGAGTGTTAGTCGTGCGATGCGTCGAATCGATACGATTCGCGATGGAGAACCATCACGAATATAGTAATGGCAGGACTGTGTCTACGCTAGAATCGTGTCTGGAAACGCGATAGATTATTTTCCATATCGATCAGCACGTTCGTTGTACCGCTGATCGGAACGATACAGGTTTTCCGCGCGGTAGACCCACCTGCTCACTTCGAAAATCCTCTTCGTGGCGTTTGGTTCGCTTCTTCTCCGCCTTTTTCTTTTTCTTCCTCGCATTTTTTTTCTTCGCTCACCCGAAGCATTCGGCTCCAACGCCTGTACCGTTATCGGTATTACTGTACGGCTGACTAAATTTATTGCGCGTTCGGATTATTGAATCGTCAAGCGGCGCCGGTTATGTTGGTCAGTGTATCCCAAGGTAGGACGGAACGATTCTGAAACGAGACAAGACGAAAAAAATTCTCGGAAGCTGTAAACATGATTGATTTGATAATTGGAGGTGTTTACTGTTATTTAGCTGAGATAGGGTAATTCCGGGTGAGATAGCCCGATCTCATTAACACGTTCACTGTCACAAGAATCGAGTCGCTTAGAAGACGATTTAAGTCGATTTTTTGATATTTTTCGATTCTTGTAAATTTTTGGAAATGATATTCTGTTTAATTCTCATTTCTACAATATTTTATTCCATTTGATAAAGTGATCGTAGGATATTAAAGAATTAATATCATTAATAAAACATTTTTTACATGCAATTATTAAATTTATTGCAAATGCGCATTAAAAATTGCTGCACATAACAAAGTTCTCTAGAAGACAGAAACTATGAGATTATTCCAATTAATAAAACTTCCCTTTTTAAATTATTAAAATATTTTTTGTTGCTCCTAGAAAACAGACATTACTAACTACTATATGTTTATGAATCATTAACCTTGAATAACACGTGCACAGTGAAACAGAAAAAGCGTGAAGTAGAAATACTTAGAAAGCAGAAACTAAGAAAGGAATATGCATCTATAATGGACTAATTAAAACACAAGTGAATACATTAAAGGTATACAGCAGCAATTCAATATTTTCATAATGAACCGGTAGTACATAACAGTTAAGATGTAATCTTCCAGTCTTTCAGCTACCAAAGTAATTCAAAATAATTAAATGATAGCAGAAAATGATTATGTAATTTCTAGATTCTGCATTTTTCCTACAAAAAGTAACTAATACGAATAATAATGAACTACCATATAATTGGTACACTTAATCCTTATACCTTAAATCTTAGGTATAACAAATCTTATGAGTTGACCATGTGTGCGTATATATATATGTATGTATGATACAG